CACTCCGTTCTCACCAGTGCCAGGGTTTTCATAGGAGGCGGGCAATACCCCCACTTTGTGGGGGGGCCGGTTCAAGCTCTACCAAATTTCCAAACGACTCTTCGCCACCACCCACACCCAGCTTCCCGCCCTATGACGTTCGGACACTTCACTTCGTGGCCTGCGGATGACCTTGGCTACTACACTGGCGCATGGGTACAATGACTTGTTGTGGTAACATCTTGTGGAAACTAGCTTAGTATACGACAGAAGTTCGAAGCACGTAGTTGCTCGCCCCTGACAGAAATGTTGAAAAGTATTGGGTTTCCTAAGAAATCCGCAAGAGCGCGCGGGATGAATTTTTGAAACTTTTCTTTGAAAAACCATTGGGTTTTTCATGTTTTTATGATAAAATCGCTACGAAAACTAAGGTTCTGGAAGGATTTAATCTTGCGCGCGCGAGTGTGCACTTCGTGTCATTTGTTGCAAAGGATTCTTGAAGTTTGGCTATTGTAGAACAAGACATGTCATTTTATATTGTTTTTTGTCAGGGAAAGCGGGCGTCAACAAAACAACCGGATCCGGACTCCCGTTTTGCCTGAGCTTCCTCACGAAAATGAAGGAAGCCTCGGGCTGCGGCCTAGGCGCGGCGAGGGTGGGCGTGCACCAGAGGTCGCCCCAACAAATAATTATTCTTTAGGCGTGCACCAGAGGCACCCCCAACAATAATTATTCTTTAAAAGTAATAATGTTCAACAACAACAACAACAAAAACAAAAACAATTACTAGCACGTGGGGACACTCCGTTCTCACCAGTGCCAGGGTTTTCATAGGAGGCGGGCAATACCCCCACTTTGTGGGGGGGCCGGTTCAAGCTCTACCAAATTTCCAAACGACTCTCGCCACCACCCACACCCAGCTTCCCGCCCTATGACGTTCGGACACTTCACTTCGTGGCATGCGGACGACCGTGGCTACTATTCAGGGCCCCAGCGCGACGACGGCCGCGTGCATTCGTTACGTATTGAGGGCGGCGCGCGCCCGAGAAAAACGAAGTGTCCGCATTGCTTATTATTTGACAGGGATGATGGCCCTGGCAGGTTGCGCAACCGTTGCCGAACTACTCGGTCGTTATGTTGCAGAAGTTCGAAAAAGTTGCTCGCAAAAGCCCGTTTGACAGAAATGATTAAAAAGTGTTGGGTTTCCTACGAATCCGCAAGAGCGCGCGGGATGAAAATTTGACATTTTTTTTGAAAAACCATTGGTTTTTTTTTTTGATCTTTTTATGTTTTTTTTCTTTTGGTTAAAATCCCGTGCTACGAAAACTAAGGTTTTTGAAGGATTTCGTCTTGCGCGCGCGAATGTCCACTTTACCTTATTTTTTGCAAGGGATTCTTGAAGTTTGGTTATGTTAGAACAAGAAATGTCCACTTTAGCTTATATTTGTTGCAGGGACTTAACACGATGCGTGATGTTGGCCGCGAGAAATGGCCGACCAAACCCTTTTTGGCCGAAATGCGACTTCCTCACGAAAATGATGAAAATGTGGCTGCGGCCTAGGCGCGGCGGGGGGGGCGTGCACCAGGGGTCCCAACAATAATTATTCTTTAGAAGTAATAATGTTCAACAACAACAACAACAACAACAACAACAACAACAACAACAACAACAACAACAACAATCATTTTACCCGAACGCGTGGTGTTCTCCCCAGTGCCAGGGTTTTCATACGACACCAGGCAATACCCCCACTTCGTGGGGGGGCATTACAAGCTCTACCAAATATCAAAACGACTCTTCGCGACCACCCAAACCCAGCTTCCCGCCCTATGACGTTGGGACACTTCACTTCGTGGCGTGCGGACGACCGTGGCTACTACACTGGCGTGGGGTACACACCCACAGAACCCAATGGTTTTTGGAGATTTCGGCGTGCGCGCGCGAAGAAAAAACGAATGTGTCCCGCATGGTATTATTTGACAGGGATGATGGACCTGGCAGGTGCGCAACCGTTGTCGCAGAAGTTCGAAAAAGTTGCTCGCAAAAGACCGTTTGACAGAAATGTTTAAAAAGTGTTGGGTTTCCTACGAATCCGCAAGAGCGCGCGGGATGAGATTTTGACAATTTTTTGTTGAAAAACCATTGGTTGTTTGATGTTTTTATGTTAAAATCGCTGCGAACACTAAGGTTTTGGAAGGATTTCGTCTCGCGCGCGCGAATGTCCACTTTACCTTATTTTTTGCAAGGGATTCTTGAAATTTGAGTATATTTGAACAAGAAATTTCATTTTATAGTGTTTTTTGCAAGGGAAAGCGGGGGGGAACAAAACAACCTGATCTTGATGACATCGAATTACCTGAGGCTTCCTCACGAAAATGATGAAAACGTGGCTGCGGCCTAGGCGCGGCGGGGGGGGCGCGCACCAGGGGGCCCAACAATAATTATTCTTTAGAATTAATAATGTTCAACAACAACAACAACAACAACAACAACAACAACAAAACGTCCCCGGACTATGTTTTACTATGAATGAGCACTCCTCCTGTAGAGGGGCACGCCCGACTTAACTCTGCATCGACTGGCGCTTCAAGACTCCGCACTCTTCGTGGATCGCGCGCCACTCCACAGGTATAAGCCCTGAGCCCTCAACTCCCGCCCTCGTCGCTCGCAGTCGGCCCGCATCAGAACGATGCGCGATAAGGACGCAAGGGTCCTGGACGCCCAAGTCCGAAGCTTTTCGAGCGGGGCGCGACCAACGATAGTAGCCAAGGATGGACCGAGGAGGCAAGGATGCAAGGGTACTTTGAGTTTCTGAATAAGCGTCGGGGGGGCGTCACCCTCGCCGACAGCCCCACATCGAGCCCCGTCGCGGGCAGCCACCGCGAGCCAAAGGCGCCTCGACCCCCGTCGCGGCGCGACGACGAGGCGAGGTTGACCCCCGTCAGGGGGGTACCCCCCCACGCTTATCAAGAAACCCAGAGCACCCTTGTGAAGGTTGCCCATCCTTACCATGCGGGCTGATTGCTATTTTTTCCCCGCTACGAAATCGCCTGAAGGTTCGCTCGCTTTGCCAACATCGACCTGCGTGCAACGGGATAGATGCACTGGAGTCCCTCCGTGCAGCCAGCGGCACAAGAGGAGGAGGAGGAGGAGGAGGAGGAGGAGGAGGAAGAGGAGGAGGAGGAGGAGACGGCAGCCCACGCGAGCGACAGCGGCAACCTGTTTGGAGGGCCCTGCGGGGAGGGCGGGCAAGCAGAACCCACCCCGGCGAGACGGGCGGGCGGAGACCCCCGGCGGGGCGCACCGGGCGGGCGGGGCGGACCCCAGCGGGCGAGGACCACCGGGCGGACCCCAGCGGGCGGCACGGGCGAGTGCGACACGGCACGGGCGGGCGGGCGCTTCCAAGCCAGAGGCGGGGGGGCGCATCCCTGCAGCCAACCGGCACCAAAGGACGCACGGCAGGTGTACAGGGGACGTTTCCGGGCTTGTCGGGCGGGGCGCGGCCAGCGGAAGCGGGCCAGGATGCGTCGAGGAGGCAGGGGTGCAGGGGTACCCTGGAGGAGGAGGAGGAGGAGGAGGAGGAGGAGGAGGAGGAGGAGGAGGAGGAGGAGGAGGAGGAGGAGAAGAGGAGGAGGAGGAGGGAGAAGGGAGGAGGAGGAGGAGGGGGAGGAGGAGGAGGGAGAGGAGGGGGAGGAGGAGGAACAGGAGGAGGAGGGGGAGGAGGGGGAGGAGGAGGGAGGAGAGGTAGGAGGAGGAGGAGGAGGAGGAAAAGGAGGCGGAGGAGGAGGCGGGCGGGCTGCCCGGCGAGGGCGCGGGCGGATCCCACCGGGCGGTGCGCGGGCGGGCGGGAAGCTAAAGGAGGCGAGCTCGGGCGCGCGTGCGGGCCCTGGCGGCTGGATCGGGCAGGCCGGGCGGGCGGGCCCCGGCGTGCGGGCCGGCGGGGCGGTGGGTGCACGAGGTGGCTACGGTAGGGGGCAGTGGGCAAGGAACCCTCATTCGTATTTTTGATTGTTATTCGTCGCAGTCCTGTTCGCGTTAGTATTATCATTCGTAGTCTCATTATGAGTATTATTGTGATTACTATTAGCATTCATAGTCTTACGAATAGCATTCTTAGTAGTATTATCATTCGTATTATCGAGGCTTGGCCATGGATGTGGAGCTCCGATCGTGGCTTGACCATGGATGTCACCGCCGCCCTCATCAGACAAGGAATCCTCCAGGGTCTGCAGCATCCTGGGCGCATTCCTCAACCAGCGCCCCCACCGTATCCCTGTGCACGTTGCGAGGACGTCTCAGGGGAGAGCGCGACTCCAAAGTCGGTTGTGAGGACGTTTAGGGCGAGAGTACGAACCCAGGGCGGCAGGAGCACGATCCTGGAATGAATCACAACAAGAAATTGCGGGCGATCGCACGGTCCCTGAAGTATTGAATAATGCCGCGATGTATGAAAAATGTGAGGAAGTCTCACGCTGGCGCCAACACAGTTTGAGCCTCGAGTGGAGGACAAGAACATGGGGGGGCGAACGCCAATAAAAAAAGTACAGTGCGCACCAGGCAGGGAGAATCAGCAGGAACTACTCTTCATCATAATGACAAATCAAAACCAAATCATGTTCCAACATACAATACATAGGGGCCCAGCCACAAGAAACCTTTTGCAAGAAACCCAACCCTGAGACCCCAGGACGTCCATTGATTGTTGGTGTGAGAACGTCACGCTCTCCATAGCAAAACCATCGAAGCCCAAGACGCCCAGGGCACCCTGAAGGCAAGCAGGGTGTTTCTTGGCCCTGGCTTCCACTGCAAACCCCCCATCGAGTCTCGACGTTCGAGGCGCTGTTCATTTCTTTGGGAGCCTAAGGACACACATCAAACAAATACGTACACACACATCCCCAATGATTCCCCCACACGCTTCCAGATCTTCTAGGGTGTTTCTTGGCATGGGTTCCCACGGTAAACTCAGACCTCGAGCCTCGAGCGTCCCCCGCACCCCGAGCCCGCACCCCTGGCAGGCCCGTGAAGGTAAGCCATCGCGTCGGCGACGTCGCACGCGAGCTTGAGCTGTTGCCGCGGCGTCACCTCTCAGAGGCGCCGCCGCGTCCACCTCCCCCTC